CCCACGGCTTCCACACCGCCACGGACACCAGGACACACAAGACAAAAGGACAAAAACAGCAGGGATCAAGATGGAACAGGGCAAGTCTGTCTCGCAACGGTCACGGCCCCAACGGCCCTGGGGTGGGGGGCGGCGGGGCGCTGCCCCCCCTGCGCTGTCCTCTTGCCCCCCGGGGGCCAGGCCTGGCGTGGCTGCTTGGCCCCAACTCACCCACACCGCCACGGACACCAGGACACACAAGACAAAAGGACAAAAACAGCAGGGATCAAGATGGAACAGGGCAAGTCTGTCTCGCAACGGTCACGGCCCCAACGGCCCTGGGGTGGGGGGCGGCGGGGCGCTGCCCCCCCTGCGCTGTCCTCTTGCCCCCCGGGGGCCAGGCCTGGCGTGGCTGCTTGGCCCCAACTCACCTATCTACCTGCCCAGTGCCACAAAGAGCCCCTGCAGCTCTTGAGGAGCCCAGCAGAGGGCGCTGCAGGCTCCCTGTCCCGATTCAGGGGTCTGGCACCCCAGGAGAGCAAGGGTGAGTTTTGCCTCGGGGGAGGCTTCTGGTGTGGAGCTGCTGAAGCTCTCCTCCCTCCCGCGGTGATAACAAAGGACACAGTTTCCCTTCGCACCTGCTGCTACCTCCCCGCCCCCAACCTCGCTGGAATTTCACTTATAGCCAAGTCCACGCTCCTGCTCCCAAATCAGTGTGAAAAGCCACCTCTGGGCATCGCTTGCTCCAGAGCGTCCCATCACTACTCTGCCGGGACTGCGAGCAAGGCATGGACACGAGCAGGCGTGAAAGACGGGGACTTCTCCGTTTAGAAAAGAGGAGACTTTGGGGGGATATGATAGAAGGCTATAAGATCATGACTGGTGTGGAGAAAGTGAATAAGGAAAAGTTATTTCCTGGCTCCCATAACCTAAGAACTAGGGGTTACCAATTGAAAAGAAGAGGGAGCAAGTTTAAAACAAACAAAAGGAAGTTTTGCTTCATGCAGTGCACAGTCAACCTGTGGAACTCCTTGCCAGAGGATGGTGCAAAGGCCAGGACTTTAACTAGATACATTCAGGGAGGATAGGTCCATCAATGTCTATTAGTCGGGATGGGTAGGAACGGCGTCCCTAGTCTCTGTTGGTGGCTGGGAATGGGTGACAGGGGATCACTGGATAATTCCTGGTTCTGTTCACTCCCTCTGGAGCATCTGGCACTGGCCCGTCGGCAGACAGATGGATGGGCCTTTGCTCTGACCCAGTCTGGCCACTGTTGTGTTTTTAAGTAACCCCTGTGCGGGGAGGACGTGAGCAATGAACACGCTCCGGAGTGAACACGCATCCCTGTCCTCAGATTGTTCCGAGTCCAGCAGCTTAGGGACGATGGTTCTGTTCACTCCCTCTGGAGCATCTGGCACTGGCCCGTCGGCAGACAGATGGATGGGCCTTTGCTCTGACCCAGTCTGGCCACTGTTGTGTTTTTAAGTAACCCCTGTGCGGGGAGGACGTGAGCAATGAACACGCTCCGGAGTGAACACGCATCCCTGTCCTCAGATTGTTCCGAGTCCAGCAGCTTAGGGACGACCTCTTCAAGGCCCCCCCCCACCCCGCCCAAACCCTCCGGTCTCCACACCAGTGGCTGAGGACAAGGGCACCAACACTCACCACCTGCCTTTGGCCCAACAGCAGTGAAGAGAGAATCCCGGTATCACTTTCTGCAGCGCAGAAACAACACGGCAAGGGGGCATCAGTAACCCACACGCCTGCTGGAGGGTGGGGGTGGCGGTGAGCCCACTCAGGGACAGTGTAATGAGTTTACTCTACGGCCTTAGCTGGGAGCCAGCTGGCTGTTAGCTCAAGCTGTAGAGGTTCCTGCACGAAGCTCCAGAGGTAGGGTTACCAGGTAGCTTCAGAAAAAATAACAGACACACTTGATTGGGGGAGGGAGGAAGGGACCAGCCAGGAGGGGAGTGGGGTTGGCCGGGGTGGGGTGGAGTGCAGGTGGCTCAAGGCTGGAGGTTGGGGCGCGGCAGGGGCGGGGG